TAGCAGCCAAGAGCTTAACCATTTGCACCACCCAGGGGACAGGGGTTAGGACTCCATATCTTTTGTGGGAGCACCATTCAGTCCATAACAGGGTCCAACAAAGGTAGTGGGAAGGGGCAGGGTGGTGATGGGTGGACACAGGTTTGCCCTGCTGAAAAGAGGCTCTCAGGTGTGAGAGGTGTGCAGTATCCAGGTGGAGAGATGGGCCCACAAGGCACAGGGGTCTTCGCAGCAGGACAAAGATTTGGAGGTCACACCCAGACCAGCCAATGGCCATGAAGCCACACCACACTGAACTGTGAGGAGGAGGAGGGAGAGGCTCCTACTGTAGGGAAGGCAGGTCTTTCTGTAGGTGGAGAGGAAGGGGCCCCAGGTATCCACGTGGAGGGGAAGGGGCAGCTCTGCCAGGCATTGGCTACCGCTCTGCCCTGTGCCAGCTCCAGTGCAAAGGAGCAGTGGAGCTTGCAGTGGTACCCAGCTTCACTTTGAACCCGCACCCTGATTGCATCTGGCTGGGGAGACTTGAGGAGGGCGCCTGCCAGGCGTGGTTCCGAAAGGGGACTGGCTGTCCTCCTTCACTATAGACGTTCCCAGGCGTTCAGATGGTTACCTGGTGGTGACCCCAGGTTCTTACTCAGTGTGACTCGTATTGGCCAATAAACGAGAGACCAAGGTGGGAGAACAGGAAAGGCATCTTTATTTCGTTGTACAAGGAATTGGAGTCAGTCGGAGCTGCTGCTGCCAAGACTGCTCACCAAGGGCCGTCAGGCAGGTTACTTTTAAAGGGTTTACAAGTAGGGAGTTCATACAAGTTACATCAGCAACATTCTTAATCACACTACGCAGGTGCAGTGGAGTTTACATAAAAGCAGAATTCAGATGCAAAGCTGGGGAAGATGAAGCCAAGCCAAGAAAATAGGATTTTTAATACAGTACTGTGGAGCTGTCTCACTGTGGTGTCCATGATTGGTGGGTGTCAGGACACCATCCCAGGACTGTGTCCACTGTCCCTAGAGGAAAACTCATCATTTTGGGGACTTGGAGCACTGAGGACAAAAAAGCCACCCCACCCCCAGCCCCACAGAAGAGTGAATGAGTGTGTGGACGCTGAGTGTGAAACCCAGGCCCTCGGGTCACCGGGATGGCACTTGAGTGCCTTGGCTTCTCTCTGCTGATACATTGGGAGGGTGTGCCGGGGAGAGCGAGCGGGGAGGGTGTGCTGGGGAGAGTGAGTGGGGACAGTGTCCTGGGGAGAGAGAGTGGAGAAGGTGTTCTGGGGAGAACGAGTGGGGAGGGTGTCCTGGGGAGAGCAAGCGGGGAGGGTGTCCTGGGAAGAGCAAGCGGGAGGGCACAAACACAGTTAGTGACTTCTTGTTCCTCTGAAGGAACCTCTATGAGGGTATCTTTGTGTTTGTAAAAGGCCCTCAGATCTCTGTAGGACTGCTAAGGTGCTCCTCGTCTCCAGACTGAGAATCTTAGGTAAGAATGTTTATGTTTAAGTTGACAGGTCCGCCAGCAAACACCGGTTATGAGCACAAAATTGCCGGAAGCCCTTTCCCCCACTGCCTCCGCCCATGCCCACACACAGACGCATCCCTTTTTTCTCAGGGTCGATTTTCTCCAGGAAATTACATGTAGTCTTTGGGGATCAAAAGGATTTTCATGGCAAGTAATCTCATCTCAAGAATTCCACATATTGCCATTCCTTTTAAAGCTATAGGCTCCCGATTCTCAGAGTCCGAGGGGACAGTCCTCGTCTGCAGGCTCGCTCACATGGCCCTCGGATTTGGAGGCTGCTAATGCTGGAGCCCTGGTGGCACAGTGGTTAAGAGCTTGGCTGCTAATGAGAAGGTCAGCAGTTCGAATCCACCAGCATCCCTTTGGAAACCCTATGGGGCAAGTTCTACTCTGTCCTGCAGGGTCACTATGAGTCAGAATTGACTCAATGGCAACAGGATTCTTGGTTTTTGTGCTTGAAATGTTGGAGGTTCGAGTCTACCCAGAGGCAGCTTGGAAGGAAGGCCTGGTGATCTACTTCCAAAAATCAGCCCCTGAAAGCCCTGTGGAGCACGGTTCTACTCTGACTCACATGGGGTTGCCATGAGTTGGGGCGACTTGATGCCCCCAAAGCTGCCTGGTCCACAGCAGAGTGCTGTTTCTTGAGCGTCTCTGGGGTGCTGACCAAGCCTCTGCACCCAGCTACACACACAGCCCTGTGCAGGCAGAGCCACCCCGGTCCGAGGGGCCAGAAGCCACTGCTTCTGTCGGGGGCCAGGGGGTGAGCTGCTGTGTCCTCAGGCCCATCTCTGCCCCAGCTGGAGGGTGGCATATGGGGCGGACAGATGGGAGCTAAATGGCGTCTCCATCTGGCATCAGACCCAGTCTCCAACACCGTCTCCTCTTGGGGGTCCAGTCAACTCCCCAATGCACGGTTCTCTGCCAGAGAGTGAGGCACAGAGAGTAACAGCATAGCAGCATAACTTCGCAGGGAAAGAATGGAAATGAGCTGTGACCCCCTGGATGCCGGGAGGCCCCTGAGGTATCTGTCCTGTCCCTCAGACACCATGCATGCCTGTGAGTGCTGATCCAGGAACCACAGACAGATGAGTGTCGGGGCTGGGACCTCGGCTCTGGGTGGCCCAGAGAACTCCAGGTGGAGGGGAGGGGCAGGCACGGTGGTCCCCGGGTGGCAGCTTTGCTCGTCCCCCGGGAGGCGGCCACTCTGTTGTGCCTCTTGTCTCCATGTGCGTCCACTGGCTCAGGCCCCTGATGCCCAAGGCCATTGCTGTCCTCCCTCCACAACCCACACCCCTTCTCTCCAGAGAGCGCTCAGGTGAGGAACACAGCGTGTGAGCCTTTGGAATGGACAGTGAACCCTAGAACCGCCACCCCACCCAGCTGTGGGTGTTGGCAACTGAGGCGTGGCGGCCAGCATTCATTGAACCCTTACTTCATGAAGCAAAAAAAACCCAAACCAAACCCGTTGCCGTCCAGTTGGTTCCAACTCGTGACGACCCATGTGTTACACAATAGAGCTGTGCTCCATAGGGTTTTCTTGGCTGTAATCTTGGAGGAAGCAGATCACTAGGCCTTTCTTCCACATCGCCGCTGGGCAGATTTGAACCGCCAGCCCTTAGGGGAGCAGCCGATCACAAACCACTGCACCACCCAGGCTCCTCAGACTACATGGGGTCCTACTAATACCGCACATAGACCATCCTCACGTGCAGTGGAGCGCCGCGCAAACCTGGGTCTGCTCACTGCCCACGTGGCCCTCTGAGCCGTGGACGCCAGGGCCCTGTGAGTGGGTGTGCTGGGGCCTCCAGGTCTCTGAGCAGGAAGGACGCATTTCCAGGTGCCTTTGGATGGCGTGCTGGAGGGATACAAGACGTCAGGTGATGTTAGATGAGCCTAGCTATTTTGGGGTGACATCTCTTGCCCCCAGTGCTGAGGGACGTGGGGCCAGCTGTGCCGGTGACTGCCCAATTCTGTTGGAGAGCGTTTGAAATTCACTGCTTGAAAGTCAGCTGTCAGCTGTTCCTGTCTCCTGGCTGCGGGCTCCGCGAATCGTCTGCTGAAAGTCAGCCGCCTCGTTACTCGGCAAACCAAAAACCAGTTGCCATGGAGTCAACCCCAGCTCATGATGACCCCATGTGTGTCTGGGTAGAACTGTGATCCATAAGGTTTTCAATGGCTGATTTTTCAGAAGTGGACCTCCAGGCCTTTCTTCTGAGGTGCCTCCAGGTGGACTCGAACCTTGAACCTTTGGGTTAGCAGCCAAGTCCATAAACTGTTTGCACCACCCAGGGACTGCCGTTCCTCTCCATGAACCCTCAAAATGCCTAAGCCCTCTGTGCCCCTCTGAGAAAATACTGAGGGTTTGGGGGGGGCGCGGTGTAATTCTGCTTTTTCCGTCCACTGGCTTAGTGAGAGCACAGTGGTTAGCTAAATATGCCAGGATTTGATGGGCATAGGTCACATCAGGAATACCTTATACAGAACAATTCCCGAGGCCAACTCTTCCGACAAAGATTAGACTGGACTATGGGGCATAAAATGATACTCATGAAGAGAGTGCTTCTTGGCTCAAGTAGATACATGAGACTAAATGGGCAGCTTCTGTCCGGAGGTGAGAGGAGTGGACACAGGAAATCCGGGGTGGAAAGGAGGAGTGTGCTGTCACAGTATAGGGAGAGCAACTAGGGTCACATAACAATATGTGTATAAATTTTTGTATGAGAGACTAGTAAACTTTCACTTAAAGTACATTTTTATAAAAAAAAAGAATACCGTATATATTGAGATGGTCACTTGTGTAGTTTATGTACTATTGGGCGTTTATTTGGGCTCCAGGGAGGATTTAAGGGGAATGTGGGCAGGAGCATCATGGTCTCCTGACAGGCCCCAAACCCCTGCACTGACACCGTGAAAGAGTTGCCGTGGTGAGAGGTACCCCCGGGGGCCCAAGTCAAGGCCGTTTCTGCAATGAGACCAGCCATTTATCCAGGAAGACGAAGGCTTCTTTTTCTTTCCCTGCACCCTAGAACTGGCAGGCTGGACTGTACAAATCCCGTTTTGTCCTCCTCTCTGACTGTGATGAATGGGCCTACCAGGTGCTACAGCAAACTTCACAAACCCCATTGTGCCCCAGGAAGCCTGGACAGGGGCTCCAGGCCAGGAATCGCGGCTGGGTTGTGTGTGCCCGGGTGACTGGTGAACGGGCAGAGTGGGCACAGCGCGCTGAGTGGGCCCCGCCTGCCTGTTTTAGGCCTGCACGAATGAAATGAGGTTCCCACGGCCCATCAGTTTACTGTTTAACCCATGCTTCACTTGCTCAGAGGAAATGCTTTTCTCCCTTCTACTTTTAGGAAGAAGCACATTGCAAAGCTGACACCACAGTGAAGCTTGGCTGCTTGAGACAGAAACTTCAGCAGTCGCTGGAATAACTGGAGGAAGAAATATGAAACCGTAGCAGCTTCACCCAGGAAGAGCATTCCAAGATGGCGGCTCAGCGCATCCGAGCTGCAAATTCCAGTGGCCTCCCTCGGTGCAAGTCCGAGGGGACCTTGATTGACCTGAGTGAAGGGTTTTCAGAGACAAGCTTTAACGATGTCAAAGGTGAGTGAGCTTCTGGGGCACAGAACAGTGGCAGAGGAAGATGATTGGGATTTGTAATTGCCATGAGTCCCAGCAGTTTCCCTACATAGAGGCTGCCAACTTAGCATTCAGATAATTAAATTTTAGCTTCCAGACTTCATCGTATTATAAATTACGCCCGAAAACAATAACCACTTGTCTTGTTTTGTTGGGAAGTGTTTTGAATGTTCCTTAGTCAGGAAACCACTTTTTCATAAGGAATATGTTTTCTCTTTTCCTGAGTTCTGGTAACAGTAAAGTTGTTGTGGTGGTTGTTAGGGGCTGTCAAGTCCATTCTGACTCCTGGCAACCTTGTGTACTACAGAACGAAACACTGCCTGGCACTGTGCCATGCTCACGCTCGTTGTTATGCTTGAGCCCATGATTGCAGTCACTGTGTCAGTCCATCTTGTTGAGGGTCTTCCTCTTTTTCACTAACCCTCTACTTTACCAGCGTCCTTCTCCAGGGACTGATCCCTGCTGTTTGTCCAAACTACGTGAGACGTAGTCTCGCCATCCTTGCTTCTAAGGGGCATTCTGGTTGTACTTCTTCTAAGACAAATTTGTTTGTTCTTTTGGCAGTCCATGGTATATTCAATATTCTTTGCCAGCACCACAATTCAAAGGCGTCAATTCTTTGGTCTTCCTTACACGTTTGTCCAGCTTTTGCATGCGTATGAGGTGATTGAAAACACTGTGGCTTGAGTCAGGCTCACCTTAGTCTTTAAGGTGACATCTTTGCTTTTCAACACTTTAAAAAAGTCTTTGCAGCAGATTCGCCCAATGCAATGTGTCTTTTGATTTCTTGACTGCTGCTTCTACGGGTGTTGATTGTGGATCCAAGTAAAATGAAATCCTTGACAACTTCAGTCTTTTCTCCGTTTATCTTGATGTTGCTTATTGGTCTGGTTGTTAGGATTTTTGTTTTCTTTATGTTGAGGTATAATCCATACTGAAGGCTGTAGTCTTTGATTTTATCAGTAAGTGCTTGAAGTCCTCTTCACTTTCAGCAAGCAAGGTTGTGTAATCTGCGTAACGAAGGTTGTTAATGAGTCTTCCTCCAATCCTGATGCCCCATTCTTCTTCATATAGTCCAGCTTCTAGGATTATTTGTTTAGCATACAGATTGAAGAGGTATAGTGAAAGGATACAACCCTGATGCACATCTTTCCTGCCTTTAAACCACACCGTATGTCCTTGTTCTGTTTGAACAACTGCCTCTTGATCTATGTATAGGTTCCTCATAAGCACAATTAAGTGTTCTGGAATTCCCATTCTTCGCAATGTTATCCATAATTTGTTATGATCCACGAGTCAGATGCCTTTGCATAGTCAATAAAACACAGGTAAACATCTTTCTGGTATTCTCTGCTTTCATCGAGGATCTATCTGACATCAACAGTGATAGCCTCTTTTAAATCCAGCCTGAATTTCTGGCAGTTCCCTGTTGATATACTGCTGTAGCCACTTTTGAATGCTCTTCAGCAAAATTTTACTTGTGTGTGATATTAATGATATTGTTTGATAATTTCTACATTCTAAACAATAAAGTAGGGAGCCGGAATATAGAGAAAAGAGAGTATGGTGAGTCCATCAACCCTGGAATCTTTACAGAGAGGCCCTGGTGGCACAGTGGTTAAGCGTTTGGCTGCTAACCAAAAGGTCTACAGTTTGAATCCACCAGCCACTCCTTGGAAACCCTAACAAAGCAATTCTGCTCTGTCCTATAGGATTGCTATGAGTCAGAATTGACTCAAGGGCAACACGTTTAATCTTCATGGAAGCAGACTGCCACATCTTTCTCACATGGAGCGGCTGGTGGGTTCAAAGCACAGACTTCTCGGTTAGCTGCCAAGTGCTTAACCACTGAGCCACCAGGGCTCCTTGGAGAATCAAAAATGGCTGGTCTAGGACAGGGTCAGCAAACTCTTTTCTGTAAAAGGACACCTAGTAAATATGCTTTAAGCTGTACAGGACATGTGGTCTCTGTTGCAACTACTCAACTCTGTTGTCACAGTGTGAAAGTAGCGGTAGAAATGAGCAAACAAATGGGCTTGACTGTGTTCCAATAAAACTTTATTTATAAAATCAGGTGACCAGCCAGATTTGGCCCAAACCCATACCAACCAAACCCATTGTCGTCAAGTCAATTGTAATTCATAGGAACCCTATAAGACAGAGTAGAATTGCCCCATAGGATTTCCAAGGAGCAGTGGTGAATTCGAACTGCTGACCTTTTGGTTAGCAGTCTAGCTCTTAACCACTGCGCCACCATGGCTCCAGATTTGGCCCAGGGAGTATAGTTTTCCAACCCCTCATCTAAAAGATGGACCCCAGGGTTTAATCAGCCAAGGGCTCTGGGCTTCTCCAATCGCCTCGTAAAAAGTGGGCTGGTGAGGAAACCTATGGTTTGGACACTGGGGTGGATCATTTTCCTCATGAAGGCCATATTCAGTCTATCCTGTGTGCTCTTCTGGCACCATTTGCCTTTGCTGTTTTTATCATGATCATCACTGTCATTAATTGGCTTTTTCATGGCATTTATCACTTTTTATTTTAATTACCCATGTCCTACTGTCTCAGTTATTTAGTGCTACTATAACAGAAATACCACAGGTGGGTGGCTTTAACAAACAGAGATTTATTCTCTCACAGTCTAGGAGGCTAGAAGTCAAATTCAGGGTGCCAGCTCCAGGAGAAGGCTTTCTCTTTTTGTGGGCTCTGGAGGAAGGTCCTTGTCTCCTCTGAGCTTCGGCTTCTGGGTGGTCTTCATGTGGCTTGGCATCTCTCCTCCCCCATCTCTGCTTCTCTCTTGCTTGTCTAATCTCAAAAGAGATTGATTTAAGACAGACTCTACACTAATACTGCCTCATTAACATAAGAAAACCCATTCCCAAATGGGATTATAACCCGAATGGGATTATAAAAACCAAAACCAAACCCACTGCTGTCAAGTCGATTCTGACTCATACTGACCCTGTAGGACAGAGTAGGACTGCCCCATGGGGTTCCAAGGCTGTAATCTTTACTGAAGCAGACTGCCACATCTTTCTCCTATGGAGCAGCTGTGGGTTTGAATAGCTGACCGTTCAGTTAGCAGCCAAGCACTTTCACCAGTTCACCACCAGGGCTCCTTGACCACAAGTAACCATTTGCACCACCCAGGGACACCCCAAAACCAGTTGTCGTGGAGTCAGTTCCAACTCATGGTGACCACATGTGTGTCATAGTAGATAGGGGTGTGGCAGGGGTTCAGTGGCTGGTTTTTTGGAAGTAGATCAACAGGCCTTTCTTCTGAGGCACCTCTGGGTGGACTTGAACCTCCCACCTTTAGATTAGCAGCTGAAAACTGAAGCATTTGCCCCACCCAGGGACTGGTGAGTTTGTGTGTGTGTGTGCGTGTGTGTGTGTGTGTGTGTAAGTGGGGTGGGTGTTTGAGAATCTCAGCTTGAGCAGGTCAAAGGGCCTCAGTCTGTACGCCGAGACCCTCTGGGCTCTACTACCGAGAGGCAGTGTGTGACCCAGGCAGCCAGGAGCTTCACACACATCTGGGTGATAGAGAGGCTTGGGAATTTATTCCAGCCAGAATATCTGCTGCGAAATCTCCCGCCTGTGATTAATTTCTTTGCCTGCATAAGAACGTAGGCAGAGCGATGGGAAATACATTATTCAGTGCTGATCTTCTTGACACACGGGGAGATTTTTGTATTAAAGTCAAGGTAGCCGTGAATCTGGGCAGTACTCCTCGGAATTCATTAAGATGGCATTCAATGGAGATTTTCTGGCATTTGATTAGACCGGGAGGAGTTCCTGCCACATTCTGTTTCCACGGGGGTCCTGATGGAGAGGAGGGCTGTTTCGCCTTGGCGAAGCCTGATCCCAGAGTGAAGTATGTTGCAGCTTCTGTTCTGACTACAGTGTGTGCAATTTCAAGTTAAAACCATTTTTATTTCGGTCTGCAATCATTTGCATTGATACATTTTCTTAGATCATGCACCGAAGCATGCTTAATTGCTTTGGTTTTTTAATTTTTAAAATATTACTGGAAGGGAATTATTCTGGGAACATAATAACTTAATAAGTTTTGAGGGATTCTAACGGGATTTTAATGGCTGGCAAGCTTTCTTTCAGTCTCCATTTGGAGGTTTTAATTTTTACGTGACATTTTCCGTAGATGTGTCAAAGGAACAAAAGATAGTTTCCATTGCTGGAGACCGTGACCAGCAAACAGAAGCGGGAGACAACCAGTTGCCATTGAGTTGATTCCGACTCATGGCGACCCCATGTGTGTCAGAGTAGAACTGTGCTCCAGAGGGTTTTCAATGGCTGATTTTTCGGAAGTAGATTGCCAGGTCTTTGTTCCAAGGCACCTCTGGGTGGACTCAAACTGCCAGCCTTTTGGTTAGCAGCTGAGCGCGTTCATTGTCTGCACCAGCCAGGGACGCCAGAAGTGGGAAGGAAGAGCTCTGACCTCAGTCTTCCCCGTCTCCTTTCTTTCTGCCTTTCCAGTGAAGCTGTTTCTTTTACTTTCCTGTTTTTATTCACTTGCAGCCCTTCACTGTTGGGTCACTTGTCTTTGTTGTCATTGTGTAGCAGACAGGCAGAGCCAGGGGGGATTCTAACTTTGCCTTTGGCCAACACCTCCCTCGGTTTCATGTATATGGCCTCTCTAGGTTGTAAGCACAACTAATCAGTACGTATTTATTGAGTACCTACTACGTGCCAGGCCCTGCTTCCAGTACCAGGGATATAACAGTGAACGACAGACTTCCTAGTGGGGTTCTAGTGTGTGTTCTAGTGGGGAGATGGAGCCCTCCCACCAAAAGTCAAAACCAGTGTGATAGACTGGTTGATGATAAGTGCTATGGAGAAAAATAAAACAAGGAAGGGGATTGGAGATGTCAGTTTTCCTTTTTTTTTTTTTTGGAAGTAGATCGCCAGGTCTTTCTCCCGAGGCACATCTGGGTGGGCTTGAGCTGCCAACTTCTTGGTTAGCAGCTGAGTGCATTAACTGTTTGCACCACGTAGGAACTCCAAAAGTGGAGAGTCGCTGGCGAGTCCTTACCTTGGGCTAAATGTTATTAGCAGTCTATCGGTGTCATTTCATTTCATCCTCACCACAGCCCGTTGAGGAGCAGGCTCCGAAAGTCACAGTTTTAAGGGCCCTGGATTCAAGTCAAGGTTTCCTGTTCCCAGATCCAGATTCTTCTCAAGTCAAAACCAAAACCAAACCTGTTGGCGTCAAGTTGATTCCGACTCATAGTGACCCTCTAGGACAGAGTAGAACTGCCCCATAGGGTTTCCAAGGAGCGGCTAGTGGATTTGAACTGCCGATCTTTCGGTTAGCAGCCGAGCTCTTAACCACTGTGCCACCAGGGCTCCAGACGGACAGCTCTGTGTAATTGTCCTAGCTTATATGGCTGCTGTAACAGAATACACAAGTGGTGGCTTTAAAGAAGAGAAATTGATGGTCTCACAGTGCTGGAAGCTAGAAGTCCAAATCAGGGTGCCACTTCTAGAGGAAGGTCCTTCTTCGTCTCTTTCAACGCTGGTAGCTGCCAGCAGCCCTTGGCGTTCCTGGACTTGTATGCATCTGCCTCCATAGTCACATGGCATCTGTCTTCCCTGTGCGTGTCTCTGTGTCTGTTTCCCTTTTTATAAGGCACCCCTCAGAAGGGATTAGGTTTAGGACCCACCCTCCTCTGGTATGACCTCATTAACATAACAAAACAAAACTCCTATTTCCAAATGCGGTCACATTGACAAGTACACAGGTTAGGACTTCAGCGTAACTTTTTGGGGAACACAGTTCAATCCATAAGAGTAATTTTCACAAGCAGGTGGTAGGTGATGGCTGTCAAGGCCCAGGTATACTTTCTGTCAAGCACACCTGTAACCTAGTCAAGTAAATCAGTAGACACTTCCTGCTTTATTTCCTACTATATTGGAGCCCTGGTGGCCTAGTATTTAAGAGCTTGGCTGCTAACCAAAAGGTTGGTAGTTCAAATCCACCAAGGGGCTCCTGGGAAACCCTATGGGGCAGTTCTGCCCTGTCCTATAGGGTCACCATGAGTACGAATTGACTCGATGGCAACGGGTTTTTTACTTCATTTCCTAATTTTTATGATTTCCCCTCAAAAGCAAGGGAAACTGGCGGATGATTTTTTGGGAGGGCCAATTTGATAGACCAGACCAGGAATCCTGTTGCGTTAATAACAGACTGGGAAAGACCTGTGTGGTTCGTCTAGAAATACCGTCATTGCTTTGCTCCTTTAAGGAGGCAACTAAAATAAGTTTCCTTTCTCTCAATTGCTTGTTACAGGAAGCCGGAATATAAGCGAAGTGTAGAACAAGGGACAATCAGTTCGTAGGGAGGAGTGCTGAGGAGAAGTATCTGGATTTATTTCCATCTGAAAGAATTTTCTTCAGCCTCTGAATATACTTTCTCATGTATGGGAGGGAGAGAAAATGCTTAAGTGAATTTAATCGTATCCATTGTTTTTTAAGCTACACACCTTTTGCTTAGATGGCTTATTTTTGCTGTTACCGTCTCTATCTGCATCAGTAACACACATCCATAAATTCACTTGATTCCGTTTTTAAAGGGGTGGCATTCTTCAGATGGCTTAAATCAATGTTCAAAATAACGTAAACTATGACCAGAAATAAAACCTGTCTTTTCGAGGGCCTGTTTCCATGTGGTTGTTTTGAGTAATAATTTATAAGAGGGTGGAAGAGACTGACCTCACAAATCTTATTTCATCTAAGTAAACATTTTAGTGAGGAATGGGGTTGAACTTTGAAAATCTAAGAAACAGGTCCAATTGTCAAGGCAACCTTCCCGTCCGTGTATTTACGTATTTCGCGTTGAAGTCAGAACGTGGAATCAGCTTATCAGCATGATGGAGAGAGTGGTTGAGGCTCTTAATTTCCAGTCCCTGGTTACATGCAGTGGGTCACTTAACTCAGAATGTCACTGTGCGTTTTGTAGGTAAACCGCACTCAAGTTTTCTTCCTGGTAGCAATTCTGGTAAGAAGTTAGTTAGATGAAGAATGTTGTTAGCAGCTGTTGAGTCGGCTTCTGATTCATGGCAACCCCACCCACAATGGAAAGAAACGCTGCCTGGTTCTGTGCCATCCCCTTGATCGGTTGCGGATTGGACCACTGTGATCTGTAGACTTTTCATGCTGATTTTTGGAAGTTAGTCACCAGGCCTTTCTTCCTAGTCTGTCTAAGTCTAGAAACTCTGCTGAAACCTGCTCCTCACCATAGCAGCACGCAGGCCTCCACTGACAGACAGGTGGTGACTGCACATGAGGTGCATTGGCCAGGAATTGAACCTGCGTCTCCCACGTGGTGGACAAGAATTCTACCACTGAACGAGCAAATGCCTCATTAGATGAAGGAGAGATTTGGTCAGCATGAGATGTGTTGGACATTACATTGTGCTATTCCCATTGCTGTGGATGACCCAGAGATTCTCCTCGTGGCCTTTCCTACCTGACTTAGGCTGTCCAATTGGAAAGTGTCGAAGGTAGTGAAACATGCTGTCCTTAGTCACTCCGCTGGACGATAAAGTACATACCACATGTCACTTGGATTTCTTTCTGTTTAGAAAAGGGCTGAGTGTTTTGCCTGAGTTGGAGTCCCTGGGTGGTGCAGACAGTTAATGTGCTCAGCTGCAAGCTGAAAGGGTGGAGATTTGAGTCCACCCAGAGGCACCTCAGAAGAAAGACCTGACGGTCTACTTCCAAAAACTCAGCCATCGACAGCCCTATGGGGGACATTTCTGTTCGGACACACATAGGGCCGCCATGAGTCAGAATCGACTTGACGGGAGCTGGTGATTTGCTAGCCTGGGCTGCTGTCCGCACGTCCGTGACACTGACTTCTTAGATCACTTCTCCCTGGTTGGGGAAGACATTCGGGAGCCCCCACTGGACTTGCTCTCACCATCTCTCTTTGTGTTTTGCCCAGTGCCTTCCCCCAGTGCCTTGCTCGTGGACAATCCCACACCTTTCGGAAACGCGAAGGAAGTGATCGCAATCAAGGACTATTGCCCGACTAACTTCACCACCCTGAAGTTCTCCAAGGGCGACCATCTCTACGTCCTGGACACATCAGGCGGTGAGTGGTGGTACGCCCACAATACCACAGAGATGGGCTACATCCCTGCCTCCTACGTGCAGCCCTTAAACTACCGAAACTCAACCCTGAGCGACAGTGGGATGATCGACAATCTTCCAGACAGCCCAGACGAAGTCGCCAAGGAGTTGGATTTGCTTGGAGGATGGACAGATGACAAGAAAGGGCCGAGCAAAGGTTACAGTAATAATCCTTTCTGGAACGGGGTCCAAACAAATCCATTTCTGAATGGAAACGTGCCAGTGACACCCAGCTTAGATGAACTGAACCCCAAAAGTACTGTGGATTTGCTACTTTTTGATACAGGCCCGCCCTCTTACACCGAATCCAGCTCCGCCACCACTAACAGCATCGGCAACATCTTTGACGAGCTTTCGTCCACACACAGACACAACGCAGAACAGCCAGTCAAGCGCGACAACCCCTTCTTTAGAAGCAAACGTTCCTACAGTCTGTCGGAGCTCTCCGTCCTCCAAGCCAAGTCCGACGCCCCTGCGTCCTTGAGTTTCTTCACCGGGTTGAAGTCCCCTGCTCCAGAACAGTTTCAGAGCAGGGAGGATTTTCGGACTGCCTGGCTGAACCACCGGAAGCTGGCCCGGTCTTGCCACGACTTGGACTTGCTTGGCCAGAGCCCGGGGTGGGGCCAGACCCAAGCGGTGGAAACAAACATCGTGTGCAAGCTGGATAGTTCTGGGGGAGCCGTGCAGCTCCCCGACACCAGCATCACCATCCACGTGCCCGAAGGTCACATGGCTCCTGGGGACACTCAGCAGATCTCCATGAAGGCTCTGCTGGACCCTCCGTTGGAACTCAACAGTGACAAGTCCAGCAGCATCAGCCCAGTGTTGGAGGTGAAGCTGAGCAACCTGGAAGTGAGAACCTTCCTCATCTTGGAGATGAAAGTTTCCGCTGAGGTGAAAAACGACATTTTTAGCAAAAGCTCGGTGAACCTCCAGTGCCTGAGGAGCGACTCCAAGGAGGGTCCCTATGTCTCCATCCCACTCACCTACAACTATGGGGACACAGTCCAGGTCCACCTGGAGAACCTGGAGCCCTGTATGTATCTGGCTATCATTGCCCACAGCCCGAACATTCTGTACCCATCCACTGTGTGGGACTTCATCCATAAAAAAATCACAGTAGGTCTTTATGGTCCCAAACACATCCATCCATCTTTCAAAACAGTGGTGACCCTTTTTGGACATGACTGTGCCCCAAAGACTCTCCTGGTCAGTGAGGTCACCCACCAGACCCCTAGCCCTGCCCCAGTGGCATTGCAGCTATGGGGTAAGCACCAGTTCATCTTGTCCCATCCCCAGGATCTCAAAATTTGTATGTTTTCCAACATGACTAATTACGAGGTCAAGGCCGGTGAGCAGGCTAAGGTGGTGAGAGGGTTCCAGATGAAGCTCGGCAAGGTGAGCCGCCTCATATTCCCCATCACCTCCCACAGCCCCAACGAGCTCTCAGACTTCACCTTGAGGGTCCAGGTGAAGGACGACCAGGACACCATCTTGACCCAGTTCTGCGTCCAGACTCCCCAGCCCCCACCCAAAAGTGCCATCAAGTCATCAGGGCAAAGGCGGTTCCTCAAGAAGAACGAAGTTGGGAAAATAATCTTGTCCCCTTTTGCCGCCACCGCCAAGTACCCAACTTTTCAGGACCGCCCAGTGTCCAGCCTCAAGTTCGGCAAGCTGCTCAAGACGGTGGTAAGGCAGAGTAAGAACCATTACCTGCTGGAATACAAGAAAGGGGATGTGATCGCTCTGCTCAGTGAGGAGAAGATCCGGCTCAAGGGGCAGCTGTGGACCAAGGAGTGGTACATTGGCTACTACCAGGGCAAGGTCGGGCTCGTGCACACCAAGAACGTGCTTGTGGTCGGCAAGGTCAAGCCCAGCTTCTTCTCGGGACCGGAACTGAGCACCTCAGTGCTGCTGGAGCAGATTCTGAGGCCATGCAAGTTCCTAACCTACATCTACGCCTCTGTGAGGACCCTGCTCATGGAGAATATCAGCAGCTGGCGGGCCTTCGCAGATGCCTTGGGCTACGTGAACCTGCCGCTCACCTTTTTCTGCCGCGCAGAGTTGGATAGTGAGTCTGAGCGGGTGGCTTCTGTCCTGGAGAAGTTGAAGGAGGACTGTAACAACATGGAGAGCAAAGACAGGAAGTCCTTTCAGAAGGAACTGATAATGGTAAGTGGTGGCCAGTGTCGGGGTTTGGGAAGGACAGGGGTGGACTGCGCCGGGCCACCTTCCCCGATCACGTGGACATGGGTGGTGGGTGAACAGATCGTCGATCGGAGCCGTGTCTGGGCAGATCTTCAGGGCATCCATGAACTTGCAGGAACCACGTGCACCAAGTTTTAAGTGTGCCCATGGGGAGAGCTTACATGGGATTCTTAAAAAAAATACCAAACCAATTGCTGTCAAGTCCACTCCAACTCCTGGTGACCCCAAGTGCGTCAGTAGAACTGCACTCCATGAGGTTTTCATGGCTGTGAACTTTCAGAAGCAGATCGCCAGGCCTTTCTTCCCAGGTGCCTCAGGGTGGGTCTGAACTGCCAGCCTTTCCGTTATCGGTCAAGTGCTTAACTGTTTATACCACCCAGTGACTCCTTGTGAGACTTACATACATACATACCCGTTGCTGTCGAGTCAGTTCCAACTCGGGCCCTGTAGGACAGGGTAGAACTGCCCCATGGGGTTTCCAAGACTGTAGTCATTACCGAAGTAGACTGCCACATCTTTCTCCCTGCGAAGCAGCTGGTGGCTTTGAACTGTCGACCTTTTGGTTAGCAGCAGAGCACTGAACCACTGCGCCACCAGGGCTTTTATGATCCTTAGAGGACCCCAAAAACTCAAGGGCCCCTGTGGAGAGGGTGACTCAGTGACCTTTCCCCGCTGAATTTGGGGGCTCCTCAAAGGTCGGTGAGTGAACCCGTGAGTGTCCAGTGGGGGTGGGGGTCAGGGCACAGGCCTGTGTTCCAACTGCCTGTGTTTGTGTTTCTGGGGAGAAGATCTGTAGTTTCGTCAGATTGCCCGCAGGGCCTGGGGTCAGACGCTGTAGGAACCATATTGTTTGGATGTGAGTTTTCTCTCCTTGTGTTACTTGACACTTTAGCACCCCTGTGTTGTATTTTTTTCCCCCTTTTTGTTTGAGTTGGGGGTGAGGGCGGCCTTTGTTTTCCCAGCACAACTGAGAACTGCAACTTTCAGATGCAAAAGAAGGAAGTAGGTATCCCCCCAGGAGGGACACCCTGGCTCAGGAGCCAGCATCCTGTCCGCAAGCCAGCTGGCAGCCATTTACAGAGCCCGCTGCAAATCCTGGGCCAGCTCGGCCTCTGCCCAGGCCCGTGCCCACAGGCAGCCTCCTTCTGGCTGTTGCCTCTGACAGTTACCTCGGAGAAGCCAGTAACAGCTTTCTCTTGGTGTCTGTGGATGTATCGGCTGTAGACAGGCTCTGTCCACTTCCTTCTGTGACAGAGGCAGATTCCACTCTCTCCCCATCCTACAGTCCGCCATCTTCCTGTCAGCCCCCCATCCTCCCACCAGCCCCCGATCATCCCACCAGCCCCTCATCCTCCTACCAGCCCTCCATCCTCCTACCAGCCCCCATCCTCCCATCAGCCCCCCATCCTCCCACCAGCCCCCCATCCTCCTACCAGCCCTCCATCCTCCCACCAGCCTCCATCCTCCCGATACAGATGTGTCACTGGTTTTCCTTCCCATGAGAACACGGCTGTGACTCTGTCGTGCCCTTTTCTTCCTTGTCCCGCCAGCTCTGGACAGCTTTTGTGGTCACCTTCCACCATAATCTGCCATTCCATTCATGCGGGTGTGTCTTGGGTGGAAGTCCATGAGCCAGCTTGTCTGTCTGAGGGTCTGAAGACGCTTGGTGTGCAGCTAGATGTACCCCCTCTGCCCCCGAGCCAGGCGGACAGAGGGACAAGTGCCCTGCGGCCGGGCCCACTCACAGGGCTCAAGCATTGGGTCTGGGGGAGCAGGGCGTACCCAAAGACTTCCGTGATGGAGGCAGATCCCGTCGGTGTGTGAGGGGTACACAGTGAGAGAAAGCACAGAGCAGGCAGCAGGCTGAGGTTGCCCGGGGGTGGACAGCGGTTAGGTGGGCAGCCGGAGGACCCTGGGGCCTTGCTGGGGGCAGTTTCAGTGGGAACAGGCCAGGTTGTCCCAGCTGGGGAGGGAGGGAGTGGGCAACAGAGGCAGCACAGCCTCCCCGTCTTGCCCGCAGTTCACTCACAGCAATGACTCCTGTCCCGGTGACAGAGCCGCACACAGCAGGGGCTGTGCTCCCCTCGAGAGCCCTCAACTGGCGCTGTCCCCCCACTGGAATTCCGGGCTTTTGTGGAACATCCGTCGTTACAGCTGGAAACATTCACCTTGAGTGGACAGAGGGGACACGCAGAGGGGACAGCGGAGTCACTCCCTGCCACCTGTGGAGAGGCAGCAACTGATTGAGGAGGGGGCTTTCAGAGCCTGCCCGTCTCTTCTTTCTCTTTCCAGAGAACTTCAGCTATCCCGCTCTTTTCATTCAACTTGGGGTTTCTCTGAACCAGTTTTTCAGGTGGCTTTCTTGGTTAGTTTTGTGTGAGAAATGGGTGTCAGGTGTGTGCATGTGTGGGGGTTGTGTGCGTGCGTGCGTGCGTGCGTGCGTGTGTGTGTGTGTGAGAGAGAGAGAGAGAGAGAGAGAGACATAGACAGCTCCCTCCTCCTCCCCTAGCTCCTCTTCTCGACACCCAGGACTCCCCAGAGAGGAGGAAATGAGACTTGACTTTGGCAGGCCCGTTGCCCAGAGGCGAGGTCAGAGCTGGTGGTACTAAAGTGAAGCTGGTTTTGCAGTTGCCTCTCTTTTCCCAGCTCCTTTCCCACCTATCTCCGTCACCACTGTGAGCAGGGAGGTCGGGTGAATGGCCAGGCGGCCACAAACACAGGCTGATTTATCCCAGGACCCCTGAGGAGTTGGGGACTCACAAGTCCCCGGCTCCTCCACAGCCAGACCAGGTCTCCTGCACCCCGCCATGGTTCAGATGGCCTTCTGTGGAGTTGTAGTGAAGGTGGTGTTTAAACGGTGTTTAAATGCCATTGAGGAAACCGCTGCGGATCTCGATGCCAGAGGTGGGACTTGTGGGTTGGAGAGGCATTAGATGAATGGGCCCCAAATATTTGAAAAGCGTTTGAAAGGTGAGTTCTGCCTAAAGGTTGGAAGAAAGACCTGGAGATCTGTTTCCATAAAAATTACAGGCAAGAAAACTTCGTGGAGCAGTTCTACTCTGTAACACATTGCGGCACCATGAGTTGGAATTGACTCGATGGCAACATGTTTGGGGCTTTTTTTGTTTGTTTTTTGGTTTTCTGTTGTCAAAGGCGGAGTAGGGACAGCTGGATGAGAGGTTCATGGCAGCAGCCAGGAAGAAGCATCAGAAGACGGAGCCAGGAGTGGGTATGCTGACTTAATCCTCACTCAGCCTGTCTTGGGTGCCACCTGTGTGCTTGGGGACGGTGCTGGGGACTGGGCTTTCAGGGAACAGGGTTCAGGGCATGACAGGATGATAATGGCCCCAGAGAGAAGGACCCCACTGAGCATGGGCGATCAAGGAAAGATAAATGGGGGTGGGGGAAGCTTGAAAGATGAGTGGGAGCCCACCCAGTGGTGAAGGATGGTTAGATGGGAGGGCACAGCGCAGGCTGGGTCCAGGGGCATGGAAGAGTGTGGAATGGTGTAAACTGTCCCAGGTGTGAGGTGGCCGGGGTCTAGGGTGACTGTGGGGCCATGGTGGTATGGGACAATGGTATGAAGCCACCTGGGCCTGGTAACACTTGGCTTTGTTCTTTTGTCTTGGGAAGGGTTAGAGTGTTTTGTTGTACCCTGCACCATCTTCATGATGGATGGTATGTTTGAGTCCATTGTTGCAGCCACTGGGTCAGTCTGTCTCATGGAGGGTCTTCCTCGTTTTTGTTGATCCTCTGCTTTACCAAACATGATGTCCTTTTCCAGGGATTGGTCGAAGTCTCAGATAGTATTCTGTGATCCATAGGGTTTTCGTTGGCTGATTTTCGGAAGTAGATCACACCAGGCTTTTCTTCCTAGTTTGTGTTAGTCTGTAAGCTCCGCTGAAACCTGTCCACTGCGGGTGACCCTGCTGCTATGTGGGGAACACCACAGCAACACACAAGCCGCCACAGCAGACAGACTGACAGGCGGGGGGTGGTATTTCAGGGGACGGGATGAGGAATCGGGTGTGATTGGAGCCCACGTCAGCTGCTGGGTCAGCTCGTGTTTGTCCCTCTCCACGCTGCCTCCCACATCCCTAAGCCATCAGTCACGGTCCAGTATATCACCCTTAGTGCCCTCCCTGCAGGGTAGCAGGAGGCCCACAGGGGAGGCCTGGCGTTCATTCTGATTCCTGGATTCTACTCTTGTTCAGGCAGCGCCAGGCAGTTCCTTTCCAGCAGAGGTGGGAGAGACTGGCTAGTGGAAGGCTGCCCAGTTGGGAACACACCCAGACAAGCCGGCTCACGGGTTCTCTTGGACATTCACCCTGCGGGCTACAGCGTCACAGGCAGTGGGGCACGTGTTGTCTGCAGCCAGCCCCCGTTATCTCTGGCTCACAGTGTGCCGTGCCCCACAACACCTGCAGGCAGGCAATGGGTGGTGATGTCCGGGCCTGCGGTCAGACCTCACCGTGGCCTCGGTGAAGGGCCCCCCGTTTATTTTCCCGCATGTCCACCTCGGGGCCCATCTTCAGCGCCAGGCGTCACTGGCTTTGCACAGCTGCCTCGGCCCATCCCACGTTTGTTCTGGAATGAAAATCGTCCTTGTTGATTTTTCTATTTATAAAAGCAGCATGTGCTTCTTTGTGAATTGTTTTTTTTTTTTTAAGAGCCAAAGGAGAAAGTGGAAGCCCCCCACCTCTAGCCCCGTCTCCCACAGGGGTCTGTGTTCACAGTTTGGAGTGTGTCCTTCCAGGCTGTCCCTGTGTTTGCAAATTTGTTGCTATTGTTAAATTAAATAGGGTTTTGCCATATGGACTGTGGCATAATCTGTTTTTTCAACGTACGTGACCTCTAGGCCCACATCACCCCAGCATCAAAAGGCACCTCTGGTTCTTGGGGTCTGTTGGAGGTCCCTGGATTATTGCCTGGTTTTCACCATTACAGGTATCGCTACTGCGAGG